GTAGCACGAGGCAAGCGATATGTTCTAGGAGGGGTGAAAGCCTGGTGCCTATTGCTTGCGCTCAGACTAACTTCAACCAGATTTCTAAGTCCTGTTAACTCATTTGGATTTATTTCTGGATTTGGAGACCCGTTCTAGCCCTGTGTTTGAGACATGCTTTGAAGTTGCTCATTTCGGCAGCTCTCTGTTGGTCAGGAGGGGTTTGCCAAGCCATGACTTCACTTCCTGAAGAGTGACCAGGAAATGTCAGGACTTGATAATTTCCTTATTTGCTTCTTTATCGATGCTTTTACTTACTAAATCACTTCTGGTGCTTATTTTGACAAAGTCTAACAGAGCTAGGGGGTGAAAGTTTCCCTTTTTTTGATCTACACGGTGGAAGGCGAGCAAGGGAAGTCATAACCCCGCCATCCCATCTTGCCCATCTGACTGATCACCGGTCGAGGGGGTCATGCAGCAAAGATTCGCTTGTGGCACCTACCTGAATTCAGTGTCACTGCAGGTCTAGGAACCCACTTAGGAATTTCAGAGTTTACAAGACACACAAAGCTGCAAAGACAGTTTGTGGTTGGATGAGGGCTTGAAACACATACATGTGTGGTTGGAGTATACTCCGATTCTTTCTCTCCATTTCTTCCTATTGTTCAATGTACTTTCCTTTGCCTTGGTAAGAAGGGAATTCTCTCCACCCCATGGAAGCGGAGCATGGCTTTGCCTGAACGCAGACCCGAGCCAGGCGCTCAGCTCCAGACAGTCAGGATCTGAACTCCACCACTAAACCTATTTTTCCAACAGAGATGCTGAATTTCTGCCAGCTTACTGAAAAGAACCAAGATTTCGTCCAGGTTTTTCTGGATGTTCGGTATCTCCTAGGGTGCCATATGAAGATACTGCTCTGTCTGTAATGGGGAGAAGCTTTCGTGCAGTACATGGCAGAATTTGAGGGACAGAAATTTCTGACAGAGAAAACGCTGCAGGAGGAGAGAATCTGTGTTTTATGGTTCAGTACTATTTGAACTTTTCATCTGATTGTCTGCTGATACCTCTTCTAATCCATACATGAAGCCAGAGAAAATGTTGCAGGGAACAGAAACTCCAATTTTCATGTCTATCAGGAGTGTAGCAAAATAATCTAACGTGCTGGACATCTCTGGAAAGACTAATTTCTAGGTTGTAGCATCAGCCAGAGATGCCTGGGGGATTAGCATGGTGAAGACAGCCACTTGTGTTAGATCAGCTCCATTAGTTCTGCTGTCAAAAGGCAAGACTGGTTGACAGTAAATATCTCTGGGAAGCTGAACTTCATCAAAGCAGCAAAACCCATCAGTATTGTGAGGATCAGGATTGCGTCCTTTGCTTTTGGCCTTTCCTGCTTTCCTGTAAATTAGACACAGCCAGTCTAAAGCGTTAATTAGGAGCTGTATCTATTCAGTTGTTGCTACTTTTTCAGACCCTGGGAGAAGACCTTAAAAACAATTTTGTCTTGATTTTTTTTTTTAAAGTACAGAAAAATGTAATGCAGGCACAGCCTGACAGGTACGTGTGCCAGAGAGCCTACCAGCAACCAGCTAGGGCAGTAAATCCTCTGGCGGCTGCCAGTTCTCCTCTTCCTGAACCATGGAGCAGTCAGGACTGTGGATTCTGCAGCTTCCCTCTTCCACTCTCCCCCTTATTTGATCTCTGAATGTAGTGAAAGAAGACAAAAAAAAAAAAAAAAGCCTGGAGAAGAGCTGGAGATTTTGTTTCTAAAACCTGAATTTTCACCCAGCACTGCATTAGGAGGCATTCAGAGGCAAAGTGCAAGCCTCATGACAATAATTCTACTTAAGTGCTTCCCCGCTGCCAGGCATGAGGGTTTATTCAGTTTTTCCTGTAGTTGAGATTGCCATTGAGGTACAGTCCCGTAACCCAAGATGACCAGATTCGGGCCATGAAGCCTCAGTGCTGGGATTTCTCCCAATCTTTAGGCAGCATCTAAGAATTTCTTCTTATGTGAAATCTGTCCTTTTTAAATGTCGGTGATTTATCTCCAGCATTTCATTAACACACGTTCATTCAGACATTAACTGCTTCGTAATAGAGTACTTCGGTTGCTCCATTGATGTGTAAGAATCTAAATGTTGACCAAAAATGTATTTTTTCGTGAAAGTCTGTGCTGCCAATCATATCTTTTTTTAAGTTCATCGGTGACAAGCCAGCGTACATAAGGTGTCATTAACCATTGCAAACAAGTGACTCCCCTCCAGTATTGCCTCTGGTCTGAGGTTTCTCCTTGGATTTGGTTTCAGAATCCAGCGGCCACGCCTGAAGGTTGCGTCCAAAGGGGAAAATGTCGCCAGTGACTCACTGGTGCCAGTATCGCCCACTGGGGAAGGCACGCCGCGTTGGCAACACCTCCTAAAAGAGTTGTTTTGGTGCAGTAGGATTAGGGGAGTCTCACTTATCTCTGTAGGTGATGCCTGAGGAGAACACCTAGAGAAATTGTTGAGTGCTTTCTTCTGTTTTTTTGGCATTCTTTAGAAAAGGTCGCCAAAGAGTATAATTCTGTAAGGTGCATCAAGTGGATTTTTGAAGGTATGAAGCCACCGCGTACATCTCCTCATCAGTTATTAAGCAGATTTGCTCTTTGCTTCTCAGTGTACCTGGTTGGGGGGCTTCAGATATTGCCCCCCTACTGCTAAATCAGCCAGGAGGAGACTATCCTCCTTGGGCCAAAACCGTGTCAGGCCAAACCTTGGGCTGGTGGACGTGAGCGTGCGAATCACTGTCCCTTTACAGAGGCGCTCAGATGAAGAGCAGCTTCACGGTATGCCGAGCCACGCAGTGGTTAGTCCTCTGCCAGAACCCGTACTGTGTCCAATTCGCCTCATTCCTAGCAAAATTATTTCTGAACCAAAGGTTTTGCCTTTCTGCAAAGTGGTTCACGCCTTTCCCCATGAGGGATTGCACCTCTGTCTGGAGAAGACTCATTTGTATGGAGGTGAAATGAAAAAGGGGAAAAAATGGTGAAGTAAGCAATCTGCTCGGTTCCCCTCTTCTCCCAAAGGAGATTAATTAGTATCTATTCTTGGCATGATTGATGGCTTAGAAGGAAAACTTGTCAGAATAACTTATGATTTATTTTCGTGCTTATTTTTATAACATCCCTCACTTGGAAGTCTCTCAAAATCTTAAATATGATTTTTATTTCCCCGCTGGGTATTTTACAGCTTCACACTAATTTTGCTCTTCTCGGTGTTAGCTATTAGCCAGTCCCAGTGATACTTCTAGCATTTTTCAGGAGGAATGACACTAAAGGTTTTAACTATCAATAGCCAAGGGACCTGTGGTGTCCTGCAGAACACAGACTTCACGCTAGCAATTCATTTTTTTTATGTATTTATTTGCATTTGAAAAAAGCAACATTTTTAATTTAATCAGGTTTGTTAAACTAAGCGCTTTAAAACAAAAAAAAAAAAAAAGGAAAAAGGTTTGGGGGAGAATAAAGACTAGATATCCATACTAGATTTAAAAAAAAAAAAAATCATCATTTTCAGCATTTCAGAGACTGTTAAAACAAGGGAGCCAATAACTCTTTGTGGCAATTCAGTCTTGTTTATAGAACATCCAGACCCACTGTATGCTATAAAATGCATCATCTGAGTAATAAATGTTTAAAGCTTGACATTTCACCATCTCTTTGTTGGTATGTGCTATCAGTTTTGGTGGTCTGAAGAGATTTTTTTTATTTTGTTTGGCTGGGAACGGAGGCAGAAGTAAAAAAAGAAACTAGCCGCATCTGACTCGAACGGCAGGAGAAGGGCGGGTCCTTTTTTGCGGGTTGCCTGGCCGCAGGCCTCGGCAGGAGGACTAAGCACCACGCGGGGGGCAGCGCGAGGGCATCAGGCCCCAGGGTATCACCGCTGTGGATGGGGCTCGAGGTCCGGTGGGAGGCTGGGGAGCTGGCGCGGAGGGTCCCAGAGGCCAGCGGGTACCAGGTTGTGTCTCTCATCCCAGCTCCGTGCCCGCCGCCGGCCAAGCCTTCCCTTGCCCCCGGCGGCTTCGGTGGCGATTGAGAGCGTGACTAAATACCTCAGCGTCAGGGTTTTCTTTTGTTGGTTTGGGGGGATATTGTTCGTTATTTTGGGGAGGTGTTTGCACATTTTCGTTGCTGTTGTAAAAGTCTGCGGTTTAATATTTGCAAAACCTCACTTGCCGAAACTATCATTTTTATTATATTGTGGTTTCATCTAAACGGATGACAAATAGTACAACTATTATGGTGAATTGTGACATCGATCACAGAATAAATATGAAAATCAATGTTTGGACATTTCCTTTGCCTTCTTATTTCTGCCACCCCGCACAGGGGTGTTTGTTCCCGTTCCTGCGAGAGCCCAGGGCAAAGCAGCTGCCCCACGTGCCCGGACCGTTGCGCTCGGTGAGCCACCATTTCACCTCGGCGTTTCCTCACCGAGACTCTGGATGGACCAGCCTCCTCTCCCACTGCCACCATGGCACCTGATGGAGAGCCAAAGGTACCTGCTTTGCTGTATTAGACTAACTGGAAGTGTTTGCTGGGGAAGGTTGTCCCTGGGAATAGGAAATAGTGGGGACAACGGTGTGGATGCAAGCATGGGAGGTGGGTGGTGCCATCACTTGCTAATGACTGGGAAATAGCCAAGGCAGAGCCTGCAAAATCTAGGCTGCAACCAGCTGAGCAGCAGGCTACCCTTCACCTGGAACAGCCCTGCTTTGTCCTCATGAGTGGAGGCCATGTTTGGGTATCAAGCCTTTGGGTATTATATCCTGTGGGTGTCACTGGGCAGTGACTGTGCGGGCTGAGGAGGAGCGACCATATTTCAGCTGTCAGCAGGAGCCTTTTTGTCTCCAGGCTGAGTTTGCAGCAGGCTTGGGGAAGCCCAGCCTTCAAAGGCTCAGCATACTGGCTGAAGCAGCCCTC